CAGATGCTGTGAGTCACCTTCCATGGAGTCTGCCATGTTGAGCTGCCATGTTTCTACAGTAGCCCAGAATGGACAAACTAAACACTGGCTATAGAAAGGGTCTGTTGCGTTTATTGTAAGCTTCAGTTATTTGCCTTCTACAACTTCACCACTAGATGCCACTAAATCCTACACTCTGGTCCTTTAAATTGAATTTATAACCTAAATCATAAAGTATTTGTTTACTCTTTACATGGAACTAAATAAAAGTAGTATAATGGGAATACTCAAGTAAAGTGCCTCAAAATTACAACAAATGTTGTACAAGAGTAAATGTATTATCATTACTGTTTATGAAACAGTAAACTATGTCTAAAAGTGTCCAGAATCTCAGGGCGCCCTGGTTGCTCACCTGGTAGAGCTGGCCCTCACCTGTGGCCCCTTGCTGCCTGTCATCCTCTCTCTTTCCCCCTTTCCTGTCTACCTTGAGCTGTCCAGTCAAAATAGAGGCAAAAAAAATCTCAACACTCAATCAAACAATTACTACTTCATTTCATTTTTCTTCTTACATTTTACGCAGCACAGACTGTTTGGATGTGTTGTTTCATTGCCTTCAAGAATCTTGGACTATTCAACATCCACTATCAGTACACATTTGGGGTCTTCATCCATCCTCCATATTACATCAAATGTGTTTGCCTTTTTCTGTCAAGGTGACCACACCTGACAGTGGAATGTCTTTAAAGCAATTAGGGGGCGATTACAGCATCTCAAACAGAGAGGATGAGCTGCCCCTCTGATCGCTAAATCACTGTGTGACTTAGGCTGATCAGACCAGCGTATTCAAACTGAGCAATTCATTTATATGCAAAACCGAGAGTCAGAACGAACGTTAGAGGTATTGATCACAAGCCAGCAGAGCTACATGTGAACCCAGGAGCAGGATGGAGCAATGGGACTGTGAACTTGAGCAATACTGGGAAACATGCATTTGCGAGCTGCAGGTTGGGAATACCTGTTAAGCAGATGGTATACTTATAATTAAGACAGCCGGTTGAGAGCCATTGATTCAGAAATGCATTACATTCTTAATTTGAATTTTCAAACACATGCTGCATGTTCTTTTCTTCACACGTAGCAGCCCTCTGAAGCTCACGTGTGCACACTTGGTTTGCTTCTTCTCTCACAAACAGCTGGCTGATGAGAGTATTGATCTTAAGAGCCAGTTGACATGGAGCTAAATGCCTGCGCCAATAACAAACACACACACACACACACACACACACACTGCAGCCACACACAAACAAGCAGTGCTCTACTAAGAGTTTACAGCCAGCCAGCATTAGAAGTTAGTACTGAAAACTGGAGCACATTGTTTTTGTAGCCATCCAAAAGTTCAATATTGATTTTGTCATGTGCATTAACCGTAAACTCAAATAATAACTCAGTTTCATGTATTACTGTGATAATGTGTATGTCGGGGAAAACCCATGCAGGATAGTTTTAGAAATATGCTTCTAAAATCGCTTTCTTTCTTGCTGTTTGTGTACAGATTATACAACGTAAATATAATTTTTTAGTTTGTTATTGAGTTGCTGGTAGGCAGTCTTATGAACGTTGGACAGAGCAAGGGTAGCTGTTTCCCCCTGCTTCTGGTCACTATGCCAAGCTAGCTCCAGCTACTATACTTAAAGGAATAGTTTCACATTTTTGGGAACTTATTTGCTTAATTGCCAAGAGTTAGATTGTATTAATCGTATCATATTAATACCACTCACAGGATTGTGTGATAAATATGAAGCTATAACCAGCAGTAACTAGGTTTAGCATAAACACTGAATGCAGAGGGGAAGCATTTGCCTGGCCAAAGGTAACAAAATCCACCAACCAACACACCATACGCTCACTAATTAATGTTTTATACCTCCTTTGTTTAATTTGTACAAAAAGCTGAAAAAAAAAATACTATTTTTCTATTCCAATCTTTATGTTAAGCTAAACTAACTGTCTGTAGCTTTATATTTTCATACAGGCCACACATCTCTCAGTAAATAATAACCAGTATTCTGCTAAGCCATAGATTCTGCTAAGCCATAGTATAAATAGTATTTAATATTTCTGGAGGAGTTTGAATGTTCCTGGTGCAGCTATTTTGAGACCTAAAGCTTCAGCCATAGCCTATAGGCTTATGTTTACATTGTATAGCCGAAGCTAATTGTATAATACTGTGAGGACTGGACTAATTACCAGGCAGTAGAACCAATGCTCAATGTTACAGTTTATTATTTTCTACATTTTATATTTTCTACAGTGTCATTCCCCTACCTCTTTGAAGATAATATGATGATATTAAAATATTTTTATATTCTGTGTACTACTGACAATATTATAAGCCACTATAAACCTAAAAAGTCATAAAGGAAAACCCCAAAAAACAACCCTGAAACTGCCAGAATCTTAAAAAATTATATTTATTATTTTTTGTCATACTGCCCAGTACTAGAGTGGTATTGATCTTCCCATCAAACTCTTGTAAAGAAAGTGTATGTCCCAAAACGTTGAACTATACCTTTGAAACAAAGGAACAGTGAAAAAAATCCTAATTATCCTGCATGCTGCTTGTAACTTCAAGGCTTGTTGTCAACCAGTCATTTGCCAAGACCCCCAGAGACCCCCAAAGAACCTACTTTAACAGTGTCGTAATTGGTTTGTGGTAATATGATCAACTGTAACTTTGTTTTGGACAACTTAATTGTAAAATCCTGTTGGTTTAAATGTAATTTTGACATGAACATTAAAAAGACAGAGTTTGCTGGTGTATTTAAGGGTTGCACTTGACATTATGATGTCTTTTCAGATTATTTGTGCTGTATTTTCTTTCTTTTTATTATCTTATTTTGTTTCCTAGTAGCTTTATTTACATTGTATTTGTGATATGATTTGATTTCTGGAACTTCCTATGTATTTTGACTTGGGAACTAGAAATGTGAACTGCAATTCCCACGTGCACTTGCATGGCAAAGCACAGGTGTGTTCTATTTGATGTCATTAAATGCTCAGGGATTCCCTTTGTCAAACATTTGCACTGGACTTAAGTGTACGGCGCTTTCTTTGAGCGTTTCATTATGAGTGTGTTGAGCTTCTCAAAAGTATTATTTCAACTTTCCTGGAAACAAGACAGTGGGTCCAATTTGAGAGGGTAGGGAGAAAGATTTGGATGTTTTGATGAATTTAACAATGGCCTTCAGCGTCTTTGTCACAACTGTGCCAGAAAACCCATAATTCCATCTTCAAATACTGTATTTCTTGAGATAAAACAGATTCCCAGAAAACCTGGATCCTTGTGAGGTGCTTAACTACCTTTTTGGCACAAAAATATTTTAAAGTGGAAATTGTAGAATGTGTGTTGAGAATATGATTACATTGTGTAAGATACCATTGATCTTAGAGACAATACAATTGATTTAGTTAACAGTTGTCAAGTCCCACTGTATTATATGTTGTAGCCAGTTTTCATTTAACTGCAACTGAGAGAAGTCTCTGCAACTTGTGAACTATTAAAATGCTGATATGCTATAAAATTGCAATTTTCTTTGTGTGTTTTGCAATCAGAGTCTATTTAATTTCAGTCAAAGTGAGGAACTGGGTTTTTCCTCAGGTTTCCAATATAACACTCATTTTACATATTCACGGTGTTGTGTTCAGCCATTAAGGAAACAGCTGACTGAAGATGAAAGTGCTTTGATGAGGACGTGAAAGGCAGTTTCTTCCTCCATTAAGGATGGACTAAATGGAGAGAGAACTGGTCCCAGTTCTCAGTGGGATGTAATAATGGGACAGTGACACTAGTTCAATTTGACAAGGAGAAAGAGAGACGGAGGTGTGTAGGAGTCCACAGTCAGAGAGAGAGGCCGGCCTTTTCAGTTTACATCCTCTATTCCTCTTAACAACACCTGTGTTTTCTCTTTTACTCTCCTCTCTTCTTCCTGCATCCTGCCTATTATTGTCTTTTTTATTTATTTCTTCTCCATACACTCTCCTCTCCTGTTATTTCCCATCTCCTCTTTTGCTCTTCTTCTTCTTCTCTCGCTTTGAACTCACTTGTCCTCAGGTGTCAATATTTTGACAGCTTTCAGACAATCAGAAAAGAGCCAACAGGCCTGAGTTATAGTGTGTGTGTGTGTGTGTGTGTGTGTGTGTGTGTGTGTGTGTGTGTGTGTGTGTGTGTGTGTGTGTGTGTGTGTGTGTGTGTGTGTGTGTGTGTGTGTGTGTGTGTGTATATATATATATACACAGCATGGGGTCATACATTGTTATTGTACTGGTGTTTCTGTGAATCATTGCTCTGTAATGTTATATTGGAGTGAGATGGATGGTTTTTCTGCTGTTTATATCAGAAATGTATATCTACAGTTTTGTTTCGACACACACACTGTGAGTGATTTATTTGTATCCTTTTTTAGTGAAATTGTCTTTAGTCTGAATTTTGTTTATTTTACAGATGCTTTCAGAGAGGAAATGTTTTATTGGTTACCCTACCTACCTTGGTAATTTTAAGAAAAACTAATTTACACTGTTACAAACAACAACAAAATGATGAAAAAGAGCTTAAAGTATTTATTTGAAATATGCTCTGTAGGACTTTATGGACGATTTTAATTGAATTTTAATTAAATGAGGAAAGGAGTTATGATCCATGTATCTAGAGAGAAAATGTCCCTCTTTCAATTGTGTTTAAAAGCGATGACTGTCATTATCTATAATGGCAAATTAGCATGTAATGGTCTTCTAGCAACTTGCATATTGTTGAGATGAGGGAGTATAAAAGAAAAAGCCCTCAGGGACAAAAAAATTAAACTTGATGTCTTCTGTTCTCCTGGAACTTCAATCTCATGTGACAGTGGAGGAGGAGGGATTGCAGAGAAGAGATAACAGAGAAAACTTGGAGAATTTATGATGCTTTCATTCCATCCATCCTGTGCCTGCTGACAGAAGACAAGAAAAAAGACAGAGAGATGGGAGACTGGGGCCCAGCGGTGAGTTTTACTGTCTAATTCATCTCTCTCTCTCTCTCTCTCTCTCTCTCTCTCCTCTCTCCCTCTCTCCCTCCCTACAGCAGCCACTGAGGAGAGAGCACGTAAAGGACATAAAGGAGGAGAAAGAGAAAGACTGACGCAGATAAAGAGGAGAGGATAACTTGACGCAGAAGAAGACTGAAAGGGAGACTGTAGTGATGGCTGAGGCACCTCAGCAGCCGCAGCAGCAGCAGGAGGAGGTGGAGCAGGTGGAGCAGGTGGAGCAGGTGAGCACTGTGGAGGCGACAGAGACTGATCAGGGGTCTGAAGAACCGAAGGAGAGTGTCCAGACGACCACGACCCGACCTCTGCTGTCCATGAGGTCCATGAGCAGCGTGGACCCAGATGACGATTCCCCCAACATGATCGTCTACAGAAAGGTAAGAGCAAAAAGTGAACGCAGTTTAATTTTGTTGTTTTAAAGTCTTTTCTTTTAACTGATGAAATGGTTAAGATTGGGATATTGTGGTGCTGCTGATACAAATACTGGTAATGAAGGTAATTACTTAAATCCAAAGTTTTTCTTTTGAAAAACTTGGTTGCTGATGTTGGTGCTTCAGACTCTTGTCTTGGTGCTCTTATCTTATCTTCAATGTAGAACACACATATTCCACGCCACCCCCACGCTCAGCATATAAATATGTATAAATGTCACAAGAATGTACTTTAACAAACTAAAACACCTAATAACACTGATGTAAAACATACAACATGAATAATAATATAGGCCTATTCTTACTCTGAGAAAAATAAGTCAGCAGTCTTATGTTGCTGTGCATATTTGCAGATAAATATAAAACAATGAATAAAAGTTCAGATTGTTAATACAATTAAGGAAAAACAATATGCAGATATAATATGATTATATACATTTACCAATTTGTGTTTCATTTAGCTCTATGTCGTTGCTGAAAAGGGGGTGATTTTTTCTCGATGTCTTCTGATTTTGGATTGCGAGGGCTGCTACGTTTGGCAGTTTTTCCCATGGACTGTATAATCACAAAAATGGACGTAGTCTCCCTGACGTCAAAGGTTTCTGAAGGGCTGTTGTGAATCAGAGTGGTCAGTTGCCATCCTGGCTGTCTGAAGATGGGTGGTGCTGCCTGCGATGGCAGTTGGTGCCCGTCGAGATACTGCAGTTTGTGTTGCGTCTGTGTTGGGTGTGTTTGCCATCCACAGAGGTTGCCACTTGGTTTTTCCCTGCAGATGAAGCTAGTTTCCCATATTCACAAGAATACATCAACCAAATGGCTTTCACCAAACCACCCGTCAGACTTTAATTCTTTTGGTTGTCTGTATAAAATGGATAGGACACACAGACACCAGCAGGGAGGTTTATGTGCAATGTGTGCCCAGTAATGCTGTGAGCTTTCAGTATAACCCAGAAGGTCTCAGTCAGAATAAGTGTATATGAGATGTGAATTATACTGGTAGCAGTATAGTATATGCTGGGAGCGGCACTGTTCTTGTTTTGGAGCAAAGTGAGCCGAAGCTGTTTCTATACAGATGGTGAAATGGGTGAAAGAGGGATTTCAAAATAAAGCTTCCAACATTTCATTTCTCTTGGTGAGAAAAGGCCAACTTATTACATTTTGGTAGATAAGGGTTTAGGAAACAAGTAGCAGAATGTCTTTGTGACAAGCAGTGGGATTTATGAGCAATGCAGGCTAAATTTTGAGAGAATTAACAATAGCGGCGGTACCCAAGACACACTACCTAAGCTACTTCTGGTCTCAGGTATACCAAAGGTCTGGCTCATTAACTATGAGGAGAAAAGCTGCAGGATACTGGCCCTTTAGCACCAGATCTCTGGCATCTTTTATCACAATTAATTGGGCAATGATAAATTAGTGTTTAAATAGGTTACACAGAAGTAACAATGGGACCTGGGAACACCTTAGTAAGCATCCATCCTGCTAACAGGCTTCTGTTTTGTGGCTGACCCTGACCTTTGACCTCACTGTGAAATTGGAAAGAAAATATACTGTTTCTCCCATGGGAATCAATATAGCATGTCATTGTATATCACCTAGAACTAAATAAAAGACAATGGCGAGAAATGTATCTATTCCAAAGGCAATCTTCCTTCCTCTAAAATGATATGTGCCTGAGAATGAATGCAGGGACACGTGAATATAGACATCATCCCCCTGCAGTGTTTTATCATGATAGATGAACTGTGTGTGTGAGAGAGAGAGAGACACACAGACAGGTTTTGTATGTCCTGATGTTCTGTGAGTCTGGAAGCAGCAGGGAGGAGAGCGGTGATATTCCTGTCACATTTACTTACTTATCATGACTGCAAGAATACACATTGTGCAGGGAAAAAAAGATGAGATGAAGATTTGAAGATGGTGACAGAAAGAAACATTTTGCCCCCCCCCCCAAGTACAAGTCAACCATGTAGCATTTCTGTGTTTCTGTAATTTGGTTGTTTACTTATATAATATATAAGGTGCCTCTCAGTCCAGTGGACTATATTTTGTAGCATGTTGATGAAGTCTAAGCAATTTGTTTTAGCCCACAATAGGCGATGCAATACAGTGACAGTTTCACAGCACTGCTAGTCAGCAGAATGAAGACACAGCAGCCTCAGGTAGACCCTCCTGGTGGGATCTGTGCTTCAACACAAACCAAAACTGAACTCACTATGTTGCAGTATATTTCACCTTGAACTAGTAGCTTTTGTTGGACTCTGTGCCTTTATCTGTTGCCTCAGAGGGACACTGGGAGCTTAAAACTTTTGTCAAAGGTGTCTAGAGAAAGTTAACTGGACTAGACTGTTTGCTGTTCTTTCAAAAGGTTTTAATAGTTAACATTTTTGGGGCAAATCATGCTAATGTGTCTGTGAGGTTGCATAAGACATAAATATTCAGTATTTATAGTAGTAAGTGGTAATAGTAAAAAAAACTGAAGCCTTTCTGATTAATATATTAAAACTTTCTTAAATGGACAGTTCACCCTCAAATCAAAAATACTTATCTTTCCTCTTACCTGTAGTGCTATTTATCCATTTAGATTGTTTTGGTGTGAGCTTTTAACTTTTCATAGACAGATTTTCAGTGCCAGCATGTATAAGTGAGTACGTGTTTGTGTTACCTGCAGTAAGACTGTGGTGTCTAAATGTGGCAGGTGTTCCCTAGCCTGCCATTGTCAGACTAATTCCATAGCAATTTGAACATCACGAGTTCAGCAGATTTCCCATAACTTTTGCAAATTACACCAGAATGAGTAACCAATGTGCTGTTGATGTGTATTTGCAGTGGCTGTTGTGCATATCATGCAATGAATCCTCAGTGGCAGTCTGAGTTCTTCTTGTTGGATGGAAAAAATTGTTTTTATTATTTTTATTTACTTTGTGACTTTTAATGAACTTCATGGCTCACCAGGACAGACAGGACGTCCACATAAAACCTCTTGTGTGTGTTGTTTTAGTTGGAAAGCAACATGTTATCTGGAACTGCACACATACAGAGAGGATGTCATTTTGAGAAAATAGCTTCTGTGTTCAATGTACCTGACACAGCGCACATGGAAGCATTTAAATAATGCATTTGTTGTTGTGTTTAATGATAGTTTTGTTTGTATTATCAAACTACAAGTCTATAATGTCCCAAAACCCACCAACCCAGCTAAAATGACTTTTTCCCTGTGGTGCCTCCATTCCAACAGAATTAGGCTGCTTTAGATAAACATCCAACTTAACTTTTTTTATTTGAATATGGGATTTTAGACTTTAATTCATTCCTTAAAGTTTAGCTTAACCTTACCCATATATGTGACATGCCTAACCTCAACACTTACCAGAACCTTAACCTTAATCTACATTAAAGCCAATAGTGAACCTTTAAGGGTACCAGCTTTTTTGTATTTCTATTGATATAATACATTCCCTAGCCACTAAACTTATCCATCACAACTACATACTTCCAACCCTTTCCCCAACTTTAAACTAAACCTAATTGTAACTGTAACCCTATAACCAACTTTAAAGATGTAAATGTCCTAAAACTGAGACTGGCTCTCACAAAGAAGAATATACAAAAGAACACACTCACAGACAAATAAAACAACAAAACCAACTTACATCCTGTAGTTTTACAATGCTGCATTTGCTTTCCAAATATGCAAGTGTATATATCCACTTAAACTGAGACTGCATGTGCCTACAAACACACAGACATGCAATAAGTGGACATTCTATGTAATTTTAGATTACTTGTTTTATTGATGTCGCCTTAATCAGTGAATCAAGTGACAGCATCAATTATTAATCTGTATTAGTATTTGCACAATGAAAACACATTTAAATACATTGATAACTGGCACAAAATATAGCCTACTGGTAGACTCACTATAAAGATATTGACTATATGTCAATATCTTTAGTGTATCAGGCTGTGCAAATCTGTATCTGTTGAAAGAGGCTGGGGGTGCAGCAGGAATTGCAAAATGCCAACAGCCACTGTCGGCTTTCATAAATGAGTTCCTGATGCTGGCTGGAGAGTGGGGTTTAAGGAGCAAAAGAAAGAGTTTAAAAAGGAAAGTGAATAGACAAAATGAAAGACCGAATGGGAGAAAAAGAAAGTGGGAGAAAACAGGAAGGAAGAGTGTAAAAGAAGTGCACAAGAGTCCAGAATGTGACGCACGCAGACATCTCAGTGTATCTGTGAGCACACGGTTACTACACATAGTAAAGGTCAGGTGAATAACAGTAAAATAGCAGCAGAGATGTGACATCATTTCATTACCTGTTTTACAGAGTCATCTCAGGAGAGGAAAAATAAATATGCTATAGGGTCAAGATTTACTATGCTAAATGCATAATGTCTGTTTTGCTGGATGAAGCATATCCACATCAATAAATCATCGTCAGACTTGCGCTAAGAAGCCATGTGGGTTGTGGTTTTGTGCATGCGGCTACATTTGTGTAAACACATCCCTGCGAAATATGTTTTTAAAATGTAGAAAGAAAGAGAGCGATGTGAAGCGGTGTCCATTTGAACAAGCTTTTATTTACAAAACACAACCCATCTATCCATTTTTTAAAATAACCTAACCGGCGTTCGTTGTGGACAGGTTGCAAGTGTCCTAAATCACCATTTTATTATTATTTTGTTTTTATTTTTCAAATGTTTTAGCTCTATTATGGAACCAATATGCTCAAGGGACGCTTCATTCTCTTTAAAGGCAATTTGTCATAACAAAACAGGGAAAAATGGGAGAGATAGTAATTGAAACATCTGAAACTAATAACATCTGTCTTAATAACAACCTGCCAATGTTGAAATGTCTATTTAAATGTATATTGTCACTGTAATATATTCAACAGTATAAAGTGAATCCCACTGAGATGCAGTGGGATATAATAAAGACCTAT